CTATTTCATTTCAAGGTGACTCTGCTCATCTCCTCCTTTTGGGAGTGCAGGTTTGGTGGTTGGTGATCTCAGTGATTGTCTGTGTTTTGCTTGCTGGGATTGTTCAAGAGCATCACTCAAGCAGAGTCGCAACCAAACACCACAAATGCATGTCATTATGTAATAAATAGTCAAATCTTTTTAAAAGCGAGAGGTGCAAAAGCTTAGACTTGAAAACTTTAATCACCAGATGAGCTGTATTCCAGGAGTTATACAAAACATCTTCTGTACCAAAGACACAACAACGCAAAAATAAGTCACTCACAAACACAAAGTATTGTAGCAGGTGCAGAGAGACAAACCTCCTGTGCTCATTGCACTCAGTAGCTTTTCTAAATTATCTCCTCCAGTGCTAAGATTCAATGTTTAGGATTTCTTTCAGTCCTGGATATGTCCTGAGAACTTCAGGGTCTTTAAGAACCTGAAGAAATTGATCACAGGTCTCTTCATCTTTACCAATCACAACATCTATCAGGTTGGTAACAGTTTCTTCTGGCTGAGAGATATGCTTCAGCTTTTGATATTGTCTGTCTGTGATGATCCGTTTGGCATGCACATGCTGCAGAATGAAGAGATCCGCCCTCAGGCTGTCGATGAGTTCCACCTTGTGCTCAGTAATCATTTTCATAGCAGGGCCCTGGAAAAGACAACAGTTGTTTATCAGCCCTGTTTTGTTTGTTTTTTTAGTTTTTTGTTTGAATCTTTCATATGGGTCATTTATTTTTGTGTAATTTTACTTTTTGCTGCTGTGGTCAAAGTCAAAGGCATGCAGGTTAAGTGAAAATTTAAATTTCTGAGCTTGCAATTGTGGCTAAAACTGCTGTCTGGGACTTCTGTTTCCATCAGTGTTCTCTGCTTCACCAGTAGTGATCAGTTTAACAGTCTAACAGTCCAGTCATTTTGAAAATACACTTACACAGTATGCATTGTTGCTGAGGGTTACATGAGAAGATTGATAATGCTTACATAAGATAAGATAAGAGAAGATATGCCTTTATTTATCTCACAGTGGAGAAATTCACGTTGTTGATAGCGCCATTAAACACAGAGATACACATATACGAGACAGAAAAATGTACATATAAATATAAGAAATAGTGCAAACAAAAGAGATGGCTTTGTGCTTCAAATAAAAATGAAAGCAGATTCACGAGACAGTTAGCTTAGCTTATTTCATAATAAAGACTGGTAACAGGAGGAAACAGGAATCCTGGCTTTGTTATGCGTCTGGAGCATAATCAAACAAGCATT